TACTGTGTCTTCAGAATAAAACACAAGCAGCTCTGAGCTATGGGACATCATCAAACCTATTGACTGACAAAGAGCCTGCCTGACAAGACTAGCCCAATGCACTTGGTGGTAACCTCTGTGCAAGACTGGCAAAATTCAGCTTTTTAGCTTCCCTGCCAAGTGGCTGACTTCTTTGACAAAGAGTTCATTTATGTCAGCTGTCCCTTCCAGTTCCAGTCAATTGGTTTGCAAGCGGAGCATGAGGATTTCTGGCTGCCTCTGGCTTGGATGTATAGGCTGACTGTCATCCTTGCACAGCCCAGAAAACTTTTGGAGAGAGAGTTGTAGCAGAAGGCAGGATGGTATCTCACAATCCTCCCCCCAGCATGTAAATTTGATGCCAGAATTTGACCTGTAGCATCTTCCTAAAATAATGTCGCTAATGGTGGAAAGTCTCTGCTTATACATCACCTGCTCTCACCTCCCCAGTGAAACTGCTAGGCAAACATTCCAGTTCTTTTGTTTTATTTTTGTAGTATGCTTACATGTATTATGACCTTTTATTATTAATATTTATGCAGCACATATAAAATATTTTGGCTTGTGTTCTTTGTGAATTACAATACCGTGCTTTCAGTCAGCTCAGCTGGTTCTCCGAAACATGATGACAATACATTTCTTATGGCTGAACCCTTATGAGTAGATTCTTGGCTGAGCTAAGTTGATTTCAGTGGAGCTGTGCTGCTCACCCTGCTGAGGATCTGGTCTTTAAAATGGACTATGAGGCGATAGTCTGTAAGTGAGACTGATTTAGTTTATCTTGCAGAAATATTTCTTTAAACAGTAGTTTTACTTTTGCGGCAATTTTATCAGATTTCTCTCTCATTTTTAAATCCCATTCGTGCTCTGAAATAAGACTCACGAGAGACTGAAAGAGCTTGTGGCTCTTGTTTGTACAGACACGACTTTCACCCAGTATGAAAAAGGAGTTGTGAGTCAAAGGTTGATGTTTAACATGTGGCAAGGACACATGCCTGTAAATGAGCCTGTGAGATTACATGATCTCTTAAGGAGCCTTGTTTGTGCAAAAGGACTAACGTGATCACGGTTCAACGTTGCCTATTGTTTTACAGTAAATGTTTTGCATTATATGGTTGTCTACATGGCATCAGAGTTGTAAGTTGGCTGCAGCTGCCTGGCCACTCCCTCCTCGCCCCAGCACTCTCATGGAAAAAGAGAGATTTATCTCACAAGGCTACTCTAGGGACCAAAACTTTCAAAAAAGGCATTACTATGTGACCTTTTTTCTTGGTAAATAAGGAGTGGTGATTACTAAGAAAGCACAAACAGTTCTGAAAGGAGACTTTATTTTCTGTTTTCATGTATGTTTATGTAAGTGTTATTATTTATCACTTGTATGTCCATGTATTGCCCTTAGCTTACGGATAGAAGCTAAACTTTGAACCTAAACCCTTTGATATCTGCACTACTAAATAGTGTGGCTGTAGTCTGGGGTGAGTTCACACACAGCGGGGACTAACTTCCTAGAGCTCTGCCCCAACAGACAGTGGGATAGCAACTGCTTCAGGGCAGCTGGTTCTGGGAACATGAACCCAGGCTTGAGTGCAGCTACCAAAGGCAGCCTAGATACAGCACGATCCCGTCCCACACATGGATCAGGGACCTAAATACTAACAATGAAAACAGAGGGTTACTATTCTAGGGCAATGAGGGGGAGTTTCAAAAGTGCCCACAACTTGACCCACATACTTAGTGTTTCTTAGGTATTTAGCTGCTGCTGCTTTCAGTGGGAAATGATACCTCAAGGAAACTTGCTGATCTGGACTATCAATGGGATTAATGCACCTAAATTGCCCACCTGTTTTTTTAGAATGGAAATAACCTGTATTAATTCCACCCTAGTGCCTAACCTTTCTGCTACTGAAATCAACACCAAGTAATCCATTGAATTCTATGGTGTGGAATCAAACCAGTAAATTGGAGAACTCCTCCATCAGGAAATCATATGTGGCCAGAAATGAAAACGGCAGTGAATATTACGTTGATGTTTTCAGGTCCCAGATGATTTTCAGTGTTTGTTTTGGATATGGGTATCTATATGTGAGAGAGTGCTACCAGCTATATTGTGTTTTCCTGCATCTGTCTCTGTGTGGCACTGGTGCACTTTGAGAAATTCTTGAAGATGAACTAAAGATGTGGGATTTTGATGGATTCAACTGCTGTGCAGACATTTATATACTATTGTCATTCCATTTTACTCAGTGCATTCCAAAAACTTCACAAAAGTGCTGAATAGTCCTGACACACCATTTATACAGTGTGCACATACGTATTTCTATTATACACAGCCAAACCAATTATAATCTTCTGCTACTGTTGTTTTATTGACTGCATTATGTAAAAGCCTTTCTTACAAATTGTTTCATGACTTTTGCAGCTTGCAAGAAGCAAGTTCTTCGTCCAGAAAGATAAAAAGTTAACAATAGCATCTCCCACCACAAACATGCATGTGTAACGCAGTCTATATTCTCCTCTCCTGTGTGAGTCAAAGGGAAATCTGTTTTTTCAACATGCTGATGTGCAGAAAATCTAGCCTGTCTGCCACACTGAGATCTTTATATATTTTATGTGTTTTATATTCCTGCCCAAGTATATAGGCAGGAAGGGGAACCCAGAGTGACAATCATCTCTTTTGCAAAGAACTAGTGCAAAACATGCACTGTTTGAGCTGTCAGAAGAGGTCATAAGTGGCCATTGAACACTGGCTTGTATTATCCTTCTTCATAGAGTTGAATTTAACCCCAAACTATGACTATATCTGTATTGAGTATCTAGTTTCAACAGAGCTCCACCCAAATAGAAGAGGATTCAGAGAAT